ATTGTTTAATTTTGCTTCACCAACATAAAAATATGCCAGACAATGGCAAGTCATAACCATAGAATTAGTCGGACAGTGTGAATGTGAAGTCGGACCGTTTGGGATGGTGATACGTCTGAACAGTTCTAAATGTACTAGATGTTCACTAGACAAAAATATTATCGCCTAGTAAGACTGTGCTAGGCGATAATAAATTGCCACCCGTCCTTCACATACATATGGTACAATATAAAATAAAATACCCAATTCGCGCGTCTAAATCCCAGATAAACCATCCCAACCACTGATAAATAATTTGTTTGCGTATTTTATTGTTTTGTTTAATGCTTAAGTTGAAAATAAACAAAAATAAACGCTGTCTTATTTTATACCCTTAATATAGACAACGTGTATGGCGATATTTACATCATGGGCGCATTTGATTGACGCCGATCGTTATTTGTATTTTACCAGTAATGGTAAAATACAAATATTCTCTATTTGAGAACGCATCATTCCAAAATAAAATTAAATTGCTGTTTAGATTCAAACATAGAATTTGGAGAGGTGTTCGTGCTGTGGATATATATTTCAACGTCGGCCATTTTGATTTCGCGCTGGACAACCGATTTGTTTGGTTATTTTCAGCTAAGTGGAGGTATTGAGGTAAGCTCAACGAAACTTGCACAGCAATAAAATAAAACACTAAAAGTCCCTTGAAGGGAATCAGAGCCAAGAAAAAGGTCGAACAGATTCTACAATTATGGGTGACCTTTCCCATGTGTTGACGTCATCGTTGGGATCGAGTAGCCCGCCAAATTAGAACTGTCGTTTGGACGCCGGAACATTATTTTTTTACTGTCACAATAAAACGACATATACGGATCATTGTGTGGATTATGAACACGCCAGGTAGTTACAACTTTTGCCGACATTGTTTATTTTAATAGTTGTGTCAAGGTCTGACGGAATAGTTTTAGCTGGGAACCAGCACCTGATGCCACACCTGAGTAACGGACTCTGGACGTTTCAGGACAGTGAACCGTTAAGCAACGATATCTTGTGTGTATTGGCAGTTTCAATAAACAATCGTTGGAGTGCGGAATGCCTAGCAAAACAAACTTTGTATAAAGACACCAGCAATTAATCACTGTTACTCTGCCGCTCGATAATAGTGGAATAAAGTTGTCACTATCGATTTTTTTAAAAATAATTTTACATGTGTTCGTGTCTTTCTGACAATGTAATTTCAGTTTTAAGATAACATCTTTTCGTATGCTACTATAAAATCACCGAAGTTTTAGTCCTTTATTCCGAGTTCACTACGTTATTATTTACAGCTAACCAAATGAAGTTCGTCTTTTGATGTCTCTGCATTTTTGTCCCCTGACAACTCTCGTTATACAATAGAGAATCTGTACGAGGCTAAACTTTTTCCCATCATGTCGACAATTGTAACCAAAGGGCGAGTCCTATTTATAAGGTCATGGAAGGCTGGATTGAAACGATCCCCCCTCGTGCCTGTAGGAGCATCAATGACAAGCCACTTGCGTCCCTGGCATTTATTTGTTTTCGGAGCTTAAAGGCAAAATATTTTTGATTCAATCTCCCCCGATCTAGTTTAAGTACTGGTAAATGCGTTTATACCTACGGCTGCATAGGTTCGTACCGGAGCCTGCATTGCCGATGGCGAATTTTAAGATGCATAGGTGCAGTAAATAAAAAAGTTGCTGGTTTCGTAAGGGAATTCGAGATTTATTTTGAAAGTCTAGTTGCGGCCTGGGTCCACTAATGTTGTGTATTCATATTGAGATTAGCGCATAATAGCTCGGTATTTGAGAACACACATAGTAAAGTATAGGTGAAGGGGCTTAGAAGACGTGTGCCCAGGGACCATGCAGGGCGCGATGCTGAACCAATTGACTGGCACACAGCGTGTCGTGGCACCACGCGGCCCAGCCAGGCATGCCTACGGTGCGTGAATTCAAATGCATCGACAGGATACAGTATGTGCAACCGTGAAAGTTGTCAAAAGTGTTCCATTCGAATGCATGGTACCGTTTGTGGACACTGCGAAGTCTACCGGTATACGTGGTTGCGTGTTGCTGAACACACCCCCGCGAGTGTGGCCTTTGTACAGGTAATCTGGCATTTGAAAAAAAACGGCCTTGGTCAGTGTGTTAGTGTCGGTAGTAAAACAGATGGCGGTGTTTTTCAACACACGTGCAGAAAGACGATTGTACTACCGGTGAGAAGTCATCTAAACTTCAAACTTATTGCCTGCACCGTGCCCGGGGTTTTACTTCTGGACTTTATTTCAACATGTACAACTTTTCAAACTTTGCGTTTCGTCGCACGTTGAAGGCGTTTCAATAAAAGATTAACATTCCTATATCTACTCGTCATCGATATTTCAGAATATCGGGTGCAAAAACAAAGTTTTTTGCAAAAATATCAGTTTTATCCTTCACAGTGTGCGACACTTCACGAAAGTGTAGTGTAGCACTAATTTTAAATTAATTATAAAGAATGAAAGCTAAATACATTATGACTGATTTCACCTGTACGTGTATGCATGGTTCGTGTGGAACGTAGCGTATAGTTTGAATGTTAGGCATTGGGTCAAGTGGGTTTCCCATAAATAACGGCTATTGTCGTAACCCACACGTCAACACCATGACTTGATGTCTAGGTACCGAATTGGATGTCATCGCAACCGCCATTAAAAATACCCGAGAAATATTTTTAACATTACCCCCCCCCCCCAACAAAAAACACGATAATTAAGTTTGGTGGTAGCGTGTAATGCTGAGTGTCGTACTGAGGCAGGACAACAGCGGGACCTCAACAGGTGGTTGTACATTTTTTAGTTTTGAAATTGTCGATATATTTGCCTGATTCGGTCAAATATTTACGATTAATAATTTCGATCTTAACGTTTTGTGTAATTAACTTCGTCTGTTGACTAATTCAGAGATGCTAGTTTTATAAGGTGTAAACTCAGTTGTTTTAATATGTAAGGTGGATGGTCTGATTTCATTTTTTTTTTTTTGAAATTGTGCGCCATTTTCTACTTTGGTATGCTTCCGCCAATACAGTGGCAAGAACTAGCAGTCCTCGGCGCATGTCCCAGCCTGTGGTAAGTTGCCAAGGAGACGAATGGGATAGCCCGGTTCCTATTGTTCCACAACAGTGCTTTGCGAGCCCTCGCTTATTGGACCGGCCTCCCATGGCAACGCAAATATTTTATTGTGTCACGTGTCAGTGACGAAATGTATGAAAGACAACAAGTTTAAAATAAGCGCGAGATTCAAAGAGCTAGTCACAATGTTTTGAGTTTAGGGACTGGATAGTCGCAGAGTGACTAGAAAAAGCTGCGTCTCTACACAGCAAGGCTACATAACAGTATCCACATAAAGTGAACGTTTACTTGCTGCCTACAACATGATTTTACAAAACCTTCCCAGTTTTTATTTTTAAGGTAGGTTTCAATTTTTTTTGTGTGTGCTTCATTTCACCGTGTACTGTCAACACTTGTCACCGGTGTCAGCCATATCCACTTGTCGCCGGTGTCGGCAATGGACACTCGTCACCGGTGTCGGCAACTGACATTCGTCGCCGGTGTTGGCAAAGTACATTTTCCTCCGGAGTCGGCAATGGACACTCATCACCGGTGTCAGCAATATATACTTGTCGCCGGTGTCAGTAAACGACATGAAAATCGTTATCTGTGTCTGTATGCCAACCCATTTGATAAAAAAAAAAATTGTACCACACAATATAAATATACACAGGGCCAGCTTGTGTTATTCGGTACCATGTGACCATCTTATATGTATGCAATTCGAAATTATTATTTTTCTCGAGGCATGAACTACATGCCACGTCACTGGAACTGATCATGTACCTTGCATCCAATACATACGCCATGCAACTACATATTTTTTTTTTTTTTTGAAATTGGCGCCGTTCATTGACGAGCATGCGTTGAATGACCCTGGTACCAAAGTTCGATTTAGGGCACACCATAATGGAACACGCAACCAGGGACTCTGTTTAATTCATTCGGCAACTACGCTGTATCAGTCGGCGTGTTTTTTTTCTTCTTTTTTACACGTGCCGGTTAATTATCGAGAAAGCTATTGGTGGTTGACAGTCCAGTCGTGCAGTAAATATTTTCCCCTCGTTAATTTACGAATACTACGCGATAAATAACAGTGCAGCCAGAGGGTGCAAGTTGAATCCAGGGGTTGGGATTCTTCGAGCTACCGGGTATCACCAGCAAACATTCTCTATGCGATGTATTTCTTGCAATGCAGTGCATGTAGTAACCACGTTTTTTTACCTCTCGGTTCAAGGCTAAGGTTGCACGGGCTCTGCAAAAAAAAAAAAAAAAAAAAAAAAAACATACCTGGGCAAGTTTTTTTTTTTTTTTTTTTTTTTTGGAAAGACAATGTTGACTCGTTTTGTCAAACCACCCCAAGTTGTTGTTATGTCTTCTTATGTTAATTACTTCAACTATTGATGCCCGTCTTTTATTTCACATGATTTTCTGTTTAAAATAGCATTTCTAACGGTCCTTATTCCCTTGCCACATCGTGGATAATTAGGCATTGTATTTCAAAGCCGTGACATGGGATTACTCAGTGAATACAGGCGTGATTAAACCTTATTGTCTTACGTGCGTAGAGTGAGTGGCATTCATTCAAGTATAGCATACGGTTCAACTATACAGGGATTTCATAGACATTTTTCGATCGTTTTAGTACACTGTCAGAAAAACCACTGAACTATGGTACAAGATCCACTAGCAAGACGATCGTCTATTTAACCTATGTAATTAAATAGACTTATTTCGTTGTAAGCTTCATTGGTTTTGCGACCAGACTCGTTCAACCACAACTATACGCATGTCTGTGACTTCGCGTTATTACATTTTTGTGTATTTATGAGTTTCGGTGGGCATGCTGGAAATTTCATATAGCCCCAGCACATAGCCGACCTGAAAAAAAAACCATTGATTCATCGCACAATGAGCAAAGGTTTACTATTACTAGGTCCACACCCTGTGATAAATGTGAGTGGGTAATGTTTCATTGTATTGATTCCGAGCTAGCACGCAGGAATGTGGCTATCCAATCACCGTACGTTGAGAAACGAGCGATGACATCATCGCAATCTCGATATACTGGATTTTTATTTATTTATTTTTTTCGTTTCACATCCGTTGAATTTCCATCAGTATATGTAATACGAACACAGCCGAGCTCCTTGTAATGCTGCTGGTAAATCATCGCAACACAGTTATTCCTTGTCGATGTCACGAACTGAAATAAAAAAGAAAAAAACACATTGTGAAAAATAAGCATATTTAACTACTTTTTGAATCTGGTGCGCCACAGGTGTGCGTCCGAATTTGCAGTGAACTGGGGGGCCTCGGTTTAATACGAAGTTGGTTCCCACGCATAGAGTCCCTAACTCTTTGTTGCATAGCAAGGGACTGTCAATAGTCACAAAGAGTGATGTGCCTTGTGCAAACATGACACACGTCCAAAGTATATATTTGTATATCAAATCGGAGCCGTTTTTATTATTTATTCATTTATTGGTCAACTGATTTAATTTAGTGACTATATCGTGATACGTGCAAAAATAACGTGGCGGGAAAGGCACTAAAAAAACAGATCTTAGCCCCAGGGCTGTCTCAATGAAAGACACGCGTATTCTCTTAGTAGGAAGGTCGCGATAAATCTAAGGGCATTCATCCATATAGCCTGGCAGCTACGCAGAAACGAAGGAGTACGAACAGAAAAAAAACAAATGCAAAAGGTATCAGCAATTGTATTAGTGCAAATTATTGTAGTAAGGTGAATTTTCAATATTGGCCACTAGAGGGCTCACTGCATAAACTTTGAGATTTGTAGTACTAAGTAGATTCGATTTTAGTCAGGTGAAACTGTAGTTAAATGACTGTGGCCAAATTATAACAAATAATAATATTTATCCAATTCTGATTTTCGGGCCTCGGTGGCAGACGTCTAAATTTGAGTACAATGTTCGTTATACGGCCTGCTAGTGCAGGACACGAGACACCAACCAAACAGGTTCTGACAGGTCACGACACTGCAGTAAATTATTACACGAGTGGACCTCATTAGCATATCCAGGGTTAAATTGATAGCATATCAGGTAATAATATCACATGATGGATGTTACCACTCCCGGGCAACACTGCACTTGACTATTTTGATATACGCTGTTAAAGTATTCAAATGCAAACCTAAAGCATTTACCGAAACGGGTTAAAATCTCTAATTACAAGTAATTAATCAAGTTCTTGATTATAATGAATACATCGACATCAATGCTCTCTAATGTTCCTTCCTATGGGATCCGAAATTAACAGAAGTCATAGTTTCCCGCCTGACAATGGCACCCGTAAATTAGTTTTGCTTTAGTCGCGCAGTGCCGACTTAATCCGCCCCGCTTGAGTGGCACATTAACAATAAGTGCCACTCAACCATGGCGGGACTATTGGTTTCCACGGACACTCCAATCAAATGATGAGACATGCACAATTTATACAATTTGTCTTCGTGCCTATTGGTCAGATTTCACTCAAGCGGATTTGAGTTATGGGCACCGCCTGTAGTTTTTACATGGTAACAGCGTTGACGATAGCCAGTGAAGCAGGGTTTTAGTTAAAATTAACAATGGTGATTCCTAAGCACCACACCACTGAATCGGCGAGACATGGTTCCGAAAACAATAGTCAACATTTTGAGCCTTGTATTGAAGCGGTGATTGGCCAGTTCGTAAGCAGTTTTGTTTAGCTAGTTTGACTGTAGTCTCCCCCTTCAGATACAACGAGTATTTGATTTTCCCGCCTAAGCCCCTCGGCGATATCCAATCTATGACGTCAGTTAATCACGTGGTCGGTATGAGTGGAATATTGATAGGAGTAAATATTTAACATCCGCCCGGGGCGGTTAGTTTGTCATCACCGAAGCCAGGCAATAGCGCCACCCCAACCGAAAACGTGTTCAAAAAACATGAATTTATAAATCTCATCCGAGCTCATTTGTTAATTACTTTAATTAAACACGTTATGCATGGTATTGTATATTATTCTCTGTTATAGCCATTTCCGGTCGGCCCGGTTACATGTGAATTACCCAAATTGGATTCAATTACACAGACACTTGCTCCGGTTGCAGTGATTGATTTTACGAGTGCGGCATGTCCTTTTAAGCACCTCCCCGTTCAGTGGGACCTCTTTGTGTATTTAGTCAACTCAACATTTCCGTTCTGTGCAGATAAGAAGCGATAACAGGTCTGAATTGAATGCGCTCTTTTATGCACTACTAGCTGAAAATAAATAACGATATCATCAACTGCATCAAATTAAACTCGCATACTTTAATTTGAAACTGTTGTAACCGCGCATGTAACTGCAAAAAATATATTTATTTGTATCATTTCGGTTACGCCAAGCCATTATAGTTTTAAAACAAAAAGGACGGCAATTTCAGAAAACGTTTCCCGCTGACGTTTTACAAATCGTTGATAATAATAAGATGTTTCCTATTCAAGAAATTTTACAAAATTTAGAACTTCGAAGTGATTTCGTCACCATTAAGAATATACGGCAATGTTGAAAACCAGTGATTTATATGAACGCTCTCTTATTTTTCCTATATTAATATTTTTTAAACTAACTTTTTTTGACAAATTGCGCGCTTTTCTTTTTAGTTTTCATTATTTAATTGATACTACATCAACATAAATAACTATATCATAAACTAGTTATAATAAAAAGAGAATAGGGTCTCACCTGAAAGAATTCCAAGACTCGTGTGGATTTATATAACTCACTTTGCCATGCCAACTGACATTGGATGTAGCTCACTGTGCAGGCCGTTTCCTAGCAGTGGTCGCCATCCCAACAACTACTATTTTATATCATCCAAGTTTTCATAAAGACTCATACACAATTCCATATCGTGATAGCTCTCCGTTCTGCACATTATATCCTTTTTCGGGCTCAAGCCACGGCTTGCATCAACCGACTGAAATGAAATACAGTGCATTGGCTGTAAGTCTGCACTAAATATGAGAAACTTCGCTGCTCAGTACCCAGCGTCCCACCTGTATTTAAATTAGATTTATTCAGAGCAACAATGCAACCACCGGAAACGTACACCCTAACTCTGCATAAACGATACTCATTAGTAGCGGGACAATATAAATTAGACAGTTCCTAGTCACCTTTATAATGCCCCTAATCTAAATATCTATGAGGTTACAGGAAGTAACTACTAGTATTTTCAGAGTCTGTCTGTGCTGTACATAGTAATTCGATTATGTAAATTAAAACCGCTTCAATCTCTAAAATACTATGAATAGTAATCAACGTAATCACAATTTAACTGAAAACGACATTTTCGCAAAAATACATACAACTGTTTTAATCGGATAATAACTGTGAGAAAAGCATTCATTTATACTCGTCCTTTTTTACAGAAACAATTATCGTCCCGCCAATAGACTAAACGCAGCCATATTGCTGTATTTGAGAATCTTGCGTTGTCTAATTATTTACAACTTTTACAACTCTCAAACTTTGTTTACATTCGGTATTTTGAAGATATATATCAAATTCGCAGAAAGAATTTTTAACAATTTTCGAATTTATGACCACCGTAAATTATAATTGTTGCAATCTCACGCCGATATATATAACTAGTCGTCGTTTGAAACTTGGTGTGGGTATGAATTAAAGGTCAAATCCTGTGACCTCTACTGGTTAGCGTCACCACACGAAATCGGAAGTAATCCAAGATGGCTTTGGTGGGTTAAATGTTACGCATTTTCTATTCCAAACATTCGCGTAGCTGTTCCTGTTCAGCATCTATATTACTGTTTACTTGTCCAAGAAGAATTTGTGTTCAGTGATATATCGATGCGGGCATCATTTTTGCTAAAACTTTTTGTAGACGCTGATACAAGTTGTCAGCGTCTGTTTCGCTGCTTCAATAGCACAATAGGCGTGTTTTTTTCGCTGTGTATTCTCACTAAGTTTGTTTAGAAGACGTAATAATTCAAGTGATTGCAGACGCATCCATGAATCAGTGTTCACCACAGATGTCAAAATATGCAATCTTGGGGCGGGGATCGGTTACTTCGAGTTATATAATCACTCGAGCGCCGCACCGATAACGAGGTCAACAACATCCGCCATGTGCATTGCTTTGTTTTGGTCTGGGCTTCGATGTTCATTCATTCATTCCATGCAACAATGCACAACATTTGTGACATATACTTGTTGTTGGTAAAAGTTTCCTAATTAATTTTATTAAGTCTACCCTAGATTGATAGCCATCTATGTATTATACTTTCCATAGTTTTGTTTTAATGTGATAAACTCATGACTTTAGACATTTATTGGTACTTATTCTGACGCAGATTATTCCAGCATTTAATGAATTAGAAATTATATGTATATAATAATCATATTTTCTTTTGTTTTCACAGCTTCCCCAAATGGGCTTATTGCGAGGTCGGAATACTACAAGTGACCAGCACCAAATACTAATAGCCTTAAGAAGCCGGAAGCCTTCGTTGAATTTATCCTCCCAATACTTGAACAATATTCCTAGTTTGCTCTTCATACCGGATATTTGTAGCTTTATCACGAGACTTGATATCAGCTATAATAATTTATTAGAGATTCCGTGCGAGATAAGTAGACTTTCAAAACTTGCATTTCTTTCAGCTCAAAATAATTTACTCTTAACACTGCCAGATAATATCGGTGATCTGCAACAATTACGGACAATTGACGTATCACGAAACCATTTATCTGCTATCCCAGAATCCTTTTCTCAACTTCGTAATTTGGAAAGAGCAAATTTCTCAGGAAATCGCATCAAAGCCGTGGAACGGTCTGTATTTCTGTTGCCAGAGTTGAGCTCATTCCACATTCTTAATAATTCCATCGAGAACATTCCACAAGATGTCTACTTAGCAGGGTTGCAGGCAATCCGAAAATTCTTTGAAATTGAAGTGCAAGTGCACGCTACTTCTAGGGATGAAATCAGTGTGTCATTTCTTGATGAATTGAGACAGCTGACACTACATACAAATGAAGATACGAAAGTTGTGAAACAAACCCAAGAAGAAGACAAAATGGTCCAGTTCAATGACAATATTTCCTCACATCCAAATTTTCGAGCTGATTATCATAATCAGTGTTTACCAACAAGTGATTATGGATCATTATCAGCATATCTGGATACCATGACAACATCCAATCAAGATAGCTTCAGTTGCTCTGGTGACCATGGAAGCGAATCTGATTATTGTTTAGATGATACGGATGAGTGTGAGAGCTACCTACAGTTTCTGCTTTCAGATTCAGATTCTGAATCTGAAGAAGAATATAAAGATCAGTTACTTCCGAACAGAACAAGATTGCTTCGATATAAAGGAGTCGCGGTCATTATTCCTGAACACAATAAGAATGGCTACAGAACAAACCAGTTTTCCTTGAATGTTATTGAAGATATTAGTCGTGCCCCGGAAACTAGCTCACAAACAGCTCGTGCCAGTCAGGTGATTTCTTTAGAGCCACACGGTGCTCAGTTTTACCAGGACAAACCTGCCTTGCTGCAGATTCCACTGTTTGCCTCAGTTGGTGAACATGACATTGTGTGTCTTTGCAGTGACACCAATGAATTTGAACAACCCTTATGGGAAGCTTTGCCAAGGGAGAGCTACACAGTACAGGACAATTGTGTTATGATAAAAACATGGCACTTTAGTTTATTCACCGTCTTGCTTCGAAAGCCATGTCCTGAAGCAGCCAAGGAAATCAAAGCCAGTGTAGGAGGTTTTGTGAAAGTTGAAGAAGAACCTTGTGTTGAGGTTAATTTCCCCGCTGGTTCTCTGTACCATGATATTGATGCCAGTGTCAAAGTACTTTATGACTACCCGACATTTGAAAAAGATCCAGTTCAGAGTCCGCCCAGAGCTCTAGCGACACCTGTTATTGAGCTAGGCCCACATGGCTGTGAATTTAATCAATTAGCTGAACCAGTTACCGTCCGTTTACCTCTACCACATTACAAAGAAATCTGTCAAAGATTTGGCGCTGTGAACATTACCATCTGGCACAGTGGAACGACAGAGTATGAACCAATAGAACCGGAACAGTTAGACATAGAATACTCTATTGACGTTGATGAAAATGACAATTACAGCATCTGTTTCCCAGTCACCAACTTCTGTTTCCTGTGGGGATTGATGGATGTGGTTGGCTCCAAGTTGAATGAAGCACGCCTGGGCGTTGCACATCTGTTCTCAGACACCCAGTTTCAAATGAAGTGCCAAGCACTGATGATTGAAAATTCTGACACCCATACGTTTGGTTTGAGTATTATAACTTACCGATCCGACAAGAAACTTCCAGAGATTGGCAACTACCAGCACTGGGTAGGAAGATCATCTGTAGCAAAGCTAATCAAACAAGGTATGTCACATGACATTTAATCTTCTGTTAATTAAGCAATTACAGGAATGCTTTAAAAAAAAAACACATTTGCATTGATGACCTTTCACCAAGTGCTTTCATTAATTATTAATGATTTATTGATTACAGGTGATATCGTAGTTCGATTGGTTTCCGAATGTTTTGAAGCAGACACCAACGCCGGAGAAGATGAGACTTTGGCTCAATTCGAGAAAGGGTTCAACGGATGTGAATTTGAAAAACAGTTTGCCTGCAAGTTCAAAAACAAGCCAATTGATAGAGGTGTCTTTGGTAAAGTCATTGTTGAGAAGATGAACCCTGATGGCTCCAGAGAAGACTTGTTCAAGTTCAATCTCATCAAGAATGGTGATGAAGGTGAAATCTCGGGCAGTACAAACCCATGGATGATGGAACCAGTAAAAGAATTAGCAGGTAAGCAAATGTTGATTTTTGATTGAAATTAATAAAAAGTTCAGATAGGTAATAATGTTTATATAAAATCGGACTTTTTATATTTCTTTCTGTTTACTCACGATTGAAATTGTTTTTGTATTTTAGGATTTTTAAATATCACTGATGCTGAAAATTGGAAAATCTTTGCAAGGGAGCTGGGATTTACCAGGCATGAGATTAGCAACAAGCTCACCATGTGCACAGACCCACTCACTCAGATTTTGAATCTGTATATGCGACGTGGTGGTACCCCTGAGGAGTTTGTACAAGCAATGTATGATGTGAATCGTAAAGTTAGAATGGGTGACACGACTGCTGAAGGCGATCTAGAGGACAAGAGATCAAGATGGAGATCCCTATTCAATTTTAATTCCACGCCATCAAGGGAAATCAACACTTTCGAGACTCCTAGAGCAGGTAATTTCAAATTTGAATTGATCTCCTTTATTCATAATATTTACTGGATAAAAATCTACAATGCCACATTCACTGTGCAACAGTTGTACGATGATGGGATGCATGTCATACTAGTAAATAACAAGTTATGCAAAATGAATAAATGAATAATGTATCCTTTTTTAGTCCCCGTTCAGGCGCAGCCTGAAAAGGGGACTTATAATTCAGGTTTTGTCAAATGTCCGCTTTCCATATTCCTTTTTTCGTCTCCAACATTTTCTCAGAAATTCTACATCAGATATCAGTGAAACTTTGCAGGTTGATGAACAAGTCTCCTCCGAGTATGCACGTAATTTTTTTTCCACATCTGAAAATCCCAAGTGGGTCTTTTTCACGATTTTCATCAAAAATTACCTCTCCCGGCAACGTTGACAGAACGTCTGCACATGCTCAGAATAAAATAATTACTGTGAAATACTTTATTTTCGCTAGCAACATTTTTTTGCTATTTTCGCTGAAGGAATGTTTCAGTTAAAATAAAATCCAGAGAATATA